CACCACCCTTCGCACGGGGCTCCTCACGGGCTCTCCCTCGCCTGGCGCCGGGAGCCTGCGTGAGTGCGGCAGTGGTGGTCAGGATGCTAAGGGAGGTGTCCAGGAGGACAGCATTCTTAGGACAGTTGTTAGGAGCCCGAGGGGGTGGTCTCTGCTTCCTCTTTCCTCAGCCTTAGCCTGAGGCTTTTGCTGTGCTGCAGCTGTTTGAGGTGCTCACAACAGCAAAGGCCTGTGCCTGCGGGACAGCCCGCTGGTAGGAAACTGCTTTCCATCCAGTGGTGATCTGGAGGAACAGGTCCAGCAGAGTGATTGCTGATCACCCATTGCGACTAGATGCTCTGTTTCAGAAGAGTCAAAGCCTTTGCTACAATTCCTCTGTACTGCTTGTGCTGAAAAGGCAGGGACTCTTCATTTCTTCTCTTTCCTTTCCCAGGAGTTCATTTCAGCAGCTCAATTGGTGTGGATGAAGTAAAAGCCCTGGCTGCATTAATGACATACAAGTGCGCTGTAGTGGGTGAGTACATGGGGAACATAAAGCATGTGTTGACTTGGGCATGGGATAGGGCCATGATACAGTGAGTCAGAAAAGCTCGTTAGATGCTTTGAAAATCAGAAGTGCTCCAGAAGTGCAGGGTGTTCTCTGGGCATAGATGTGTGAGGGCAAGGCTTGCTGTGGCTGCAGAATACACCACCGGCAGTCTGGGATGTTCGTGTTAATCTGCGAGCATCAAGCATCATCCTTCTCAAATGCAATCTCTGTGACTGGGTTGTCATGGATTCAGCTCCGGCTGGTGGCGTTTGTGGCAGGCTCGGGGGCCATATCCTGTCCTGCCTTTGGCTCCTCTCCACAGAGGCCTTGTGGCATTAGAGAGGAGCCCTGTGTGGTGTGGGGAAGCCCTGACCCCTTGCCTGAGTTCACTAGCGAGTTCATGATTGCCGTGGTCACCTCCTGCCCCCAGAGGAGGCCTTACTGGATCTTTTCCAGGTGTTCCTTTTGGTGGTGCCATGATGGGTGTGAGGATCGATCCGAGGAAATACTTGGTGAGTTCACTTGTCTTCTTCCCCCACGGGTGACCCATAACTCACGCTCCATTTGCACAGCCCTCCCTCCCTGTGCGTATCACAGCGATGCGCTCTGACAAGTGGGGGGAAGTGTTCGTTGTGAGTAACACTCACCCAGTGACTGTGAAAAGCAGCTCGGAGTGGGGAGGAGGGCAGTGAACTCTGTTTTACGGGTCAGTGCATCTGGCCAGATTGACACTGAAGGAGTCTGGAGTAGGGATGTCCCTGCCACTGCCTTCTGCACTGGGAAAAATGCAAATTAGAGAGGAGTTGGAAGGGCGATGAGCAGAGGGACCGGGAGTTCACACATCTCTTTTGTTTGATCCTGGGGTCCCCAGCTGCTGTGAATTAATTCCTCGGGTATGTGGGGGTGTGCCCTGCACAGGCAGGGCAGGGCAGCTGCCGGATGCCACGCCACGGCTCTGTGATTTTCTCTTGAGGCCTGTAGTAACAGCTGTGTTTTTTTGGTTTTGCACAGAAACATGAGCTGGAGGAAATAACAAGGCATTTTACTGTAGAAATGGCCAAGAAGGGATTTATAGGTGAGAGTGGTTTTATCGCGGTTCTGTAAGCAATGTGTGGGTGTGGGGAGCAGCCGCCTGGCTGAGCAGG